AGATTTTATTGTAGGTATATGATTTTATGATTACCAAGGCATATGTTTGTAATAGAAGGTACAGTGGTTTGAAATGAGGATAATATACATATACTTTTAATCTCAATTATATAAAGGCCGATTTGAGAGATTTTTACTCAAAATTATTTTTCCAAACTTATAAAACTACATTGAGATATAAAGAGGTGCTTAGTCAATTCTTTGTTTTTGACAAGTGTTTTAATAAATTTGAACATTTCGTGAATTAAATCGAAGTTATATGTCCAGATAATATACATATATTGAAATCTTAAGAAAATTATGCAATTTCTAACTTTAAACCACTGTTAATTAAGTATTTAACAATCCTCTGTGTATAAGTGTATGTTTTTCAACACCAACCAAAATATGTACAATAAAATTTAGAAAGAGTAGTTACTAAATGCACATTAATAGCAGAACATCCATATACATGTGTATATTAGGAGGGCTCAGCAAAAATATAGTACGAAATATCCAAACAGATCCAAATCTAAATAATAATAAAAATTAATTGCAGATTTCAAACGATATCAAATGCCCCGGATACTTTCTAAGTTATAAAATACTACTTGTTTAGCTAATGTTAGACTAAACAACAACTAAACAACGTCTAGTTGGCAATATTGATTATAAATTCGTTAGTTCTACTGTTTAAATAGATCCTTCCTTATACACATACATACATACATACATATACAGAGAATATACATACTATTTGTATTTGTGTTTACATTAGCTTTAACACACACTTATATACATATCACTACATAGAAGTTGGTTAAATTTTATGGCGGCACAAAAAACACGTTCCTGCAACATAAATTTTCACAATGTTTTGACCTCGAGCATTAAACAATGGTTGAGATTGCTAACAAAATAACAACACTACTACTATTTCGTACCAAAAGCAATAGCAAATACTAAAACAACATTATGACTACAGCAAAAATAGCTTGATAACCCAAGGAAACGAAAAGAGAAAAAACAACCTATAGAAAACAATGAATCCAAAGCATTTCCATACATTCAACTCCATGTTACTCTGGATCTTTTAGGGCACTACCATTTACACATCTATAAGATATTTTCTTATGTACGTACTAGTTCTCATATGTACTGCTTATATTTTACCAAAAAAAAAAAAAAAAAAATAAAAATGGCAGTTTGAAATATTTGTGATGTTTTGCCTTTTTTTTGGCTTAAACAGCAGGAGTGTAGTCAGCTGAGAGAAACAGATTGGTTTGAGTACATTTTAGGAGAATGATACACGTTGTATTAGCTGTTAATATGGGCTAAGTAAGCTTTGTTTGTAGGTGTGTTCATGTTTGTATGTTTGGACAGGAAGTAAGGTTGTTATGTTTACATTTTTATTCCTGGCATATGTAAATACATATGTGTGGCATACATGTGTGTATCTATGAGTATGTATATTTTTCACTAATAGCTTGAAATGAATGCAATAAATACCCAATAACATACAGGTTTTCCCTTTGTTGGCTATTTTTCACTTAGCTAAATATGTCCATAAAGCTAAAAATTCTCTAATACATACATATTCACATGTATTTTAAAAAATATTTAATTTTTGTAAATTCAAGTTTACAAATACCCAGAAAAAACTAGCTAATGACTTTCAATTGTAATTACTTACTTAACAACATACTTTTCAATGAATACTAAATATTGTTGGGATTACATAGAAGTAGTTTTATAAGGTTTTACTAATAATGTGTTATATAAATAGTTTCTAATTCATTTGTCCTCATGTCTGTGAAGCCATAGAAGAATTTCAGCATTTCAACCCCTTACATGGTAATCCAAGTTTTTGCTAGGTACTTACATACATGCAAATATATGTATAATGTTTAATAAACAATTCTTAATAAATCAGACAATATCGAAAAATTATCAGTAAAATTCATTCCTCTAGCTACTTTCGTTAGGCTAGGGACAGACGGAAGGATATGGCTAGATTGTCTATCTATTTCATGCATTTACGGGTCTACAGGGAGTAACAAAATCAATATAATTTCATGTCTACAGCTTTATAGCATCTAGCATAATACCCTATACCTGTTACAAAAGTAAAATGTGATTTAGTTTTCATAATAAAGCATTTAAGTTGAATCGTACCTTGCCTCAGATATACTTAAGCCATTGATTGTTGAGTAAAATTGTGGATATTTAAGTCAAATTTTGAAGGGGGTTTGTATAGGGGCTAGGGTCAAATGAGAGCCTATAATTACGAAATTCATAAGGGTCATCAAGAGATACGAGATGCGAGTATATTAAACATAATTATGAACTTAAAAGCCCTGTTCGGGTTCAGTTGTAGGGGGCTAGCTGAAATAATGGACCGATATTAACCATTTCAATAGGCTTCGTCTCCGGTACAATAAAAGATAATGTGCCAAATTTCATTGAATTATCTTCAAAATTGCGACCTGTAGTTTGATTACAAGGCGGACAGACAGACAGATAGACAGACAGGCAGGCAGATAGGCGGACATAGCTAAATCGACTCAGGAAATGATTCTAAGCTGGCTGGTATAATTTAATGTGGGTATATGACCAATATTATTGTGCATCAGCACAAACCCAATATACCCTCCCTACTAAAGTGGTGTAGGGTAACTTTCGAAGGACATTTTTAAATAAAAAATATAATAATACTTTTCAATATATCCTTAAATTCTCACATTAAACCAAAATATCTTTAAAAAACACTTTTTAGCAAAAAAGAAAACGAAACCCTATCACAAACAATTGTCACCAAAAAAAAAAAAAAAAACACTCTCAGGTTGTCATTAGACGTCATAGAAACATGAATGTAATTCAAAGATGTTGAATGGCAACAAAACAAAAATAATAATAATAACAACTGCTATTTAGTACTTAAATTGCCTTAACAAAGGAAAAAAATAACAAAAAAGAAAAACAAAAATTTTTGAGACATTAAATATTTTATTGCTTCAACAATCTCTTTAACAAGAAACACTTACAGATACATACGAGTCAAGATACCAACAAACATACATGCAGACAGACGTTACAAAGGAAACGGAAAAATATTAAACCCCATTAATGTTACCAAAAAAACAAAAAAGAAATGAAACAAACCAAGAAAAAGTATTGTAACAATTATAATTTTATGAACAACAACAACAAATATAAAATAAAATATTGTTCACTCTTTAAATTTTTGTTAGATGTGATGAAAGAAAATGAATATTAAGGAAAAATACATAGAAACACTTACAGAAATAAATGCCTCTTTAAAGTACTAGAGAAATTTATTTGTACGTATGTATGTAAGTATGTGTTTACACTTGATTGCATTTTTTTACTATAAGTGGATTACAATTACAATTAGTTGACTGATAAGTTGTAAAGGGAGGGAGTGCTAGAGTATATAGACTTAAATGTATGTTTTTAAGTCTGTCTGTTTGAGGAAGAGGGTTTTATATCAAAGAGAAAGTTTTTTTCTATTAAATACTTTTAAGGGGATTATTAAAACCTTAAAAGTTTTTGATTGGCGCTATAACGAAAACATTGGTTTAATTTAAAATTTAGGCATTTATGTAACTAATATGTCTAGTTATGGTAATTAAAGTAACTAATGTTAAATTCTTTTGAAAGGAATAAATAAACCCGTCGGACAAAAAACTTTATGTAGAACTTTAACCCATTAATGCCCACAGTTACATATACGTAACGCAAATTAATTCGAATTTGAACTCGAAATGCACAGAAATGGAAAATGCAAAGTTACTTTTTTCTGATGGATAGGTTAACTTAACATGTTCTTAACGATTATAAATCGAATTTGAGTAATTTTTGCCTATAGAATTGTATTTTTGGGTTATTTTGTAAAGTGCCTATTTCGTAAACCTGTAAAAAGACATATTTTTCGGGGAATGAATTCTTAGAATGTTAATAACTTCTATGTAGTTAGTTTTTAAAAAAAGTTTCTAACGTAAACTTATAAAGAAGTAATTAATGTTTATTACCTTATTGTTTATAAACATATACCATGTCCTTGCGGACACTTATAAAGGGGATAATAAAGCTGTTACGTATATGTAACAGTGGGCAGTTCTCAGTACTTTTTGTCCCACTATACATACGATATAAATAATGAACAACTTGCTTACTTTTTTATGAAAACTGCCTCAAAAATAGTTTTTTATCAGATGAATGGGTTTTTAACGTAATAAAAAACAATATATTATCTTGAAATATTGATATTTGATGACAAGCAATATATTTTTAATGTAAATGTTTCTATAAAATCGTCCTTTCGTGGATATTTTAAATTTTTTAAAAATTTCTGTAAAGGATATGCCATTTGACCGCATTAGAACTTGTTCAAGGCACAGTTGGCGAATTTTAAATATATGTTTTGACTAGAAAATCGGAATATAAATGCAATTATCCTTCAAAAATTAAACATGAGTTGAAAATTATGACCATTTTCTTGGGTTATTAGGGAAAATTAAAAATTCCCCTTCAGATGTCTAAACTTCTAACTTCTTTAAAGCTTAAAGGCAAATGACCAAATAATTTGTTACAACAAGTTATTGGCATCAACAAATCTAATTTTAGAAATTAAATATTTTTATAAAAAAACTTTTATTCGTCAATTTATGCCACCCAATAGAATAATAATGACACACAAAGGTTTTTGAACTTTTAAAATAATTTTCCAATATTTTTCCATTATACCTACAGTCAATGTATTTTTGTTTTGTATCTTAAAATGAATAATAGAAGTATATTAAGCTTAAAAAGAGAATTATCTTATGTCGCATATATAATTCTATTTTAAGGGATTTAGGTTTTAGTTAGAATTCTAGAAATTGTAATAAATTCAATTGCATTTTCACTACTTACTTCTACTGCCTTGTTTTAGCATTTGTGTTAGTAACAAATTTCTTCTGTGTTTGATTATCTTATTTTTTACTACTTACATAACTTACCATATGGCCCCAATTGGGCAGCCACACGCACACGTTCTATAACCACTGGTGGATCACTGCGACCTTTTGCATTGACAGCATATACCACAAATTGATATTCTCGTCCCGGCTCCAAATTGTTTAAACGAAATTGTGGATTTGGTTCTTGAATACGAAATATTGGTGCTGAGGTAGCCTGGATAAAAAAGAAATAAGATAAATAATTGTATAATAAACTCGTGTGTTAAAATTTATACAAGTTACACTGTTTCCTAAATATATTTTGCAAAAAGAAAACATTTGGAAGAACAACAAAATGTCACAGGCAAAAGCTGTTATTTCCTTCAGAATCTAGTTCAGTTCTAGTTCAGTTCTAGTTCAGTTTTAGTTCAGTTCTAGTTCAGTTCTAATTCAGTTCTAGTTCAGTTCTAGTTCAGTTCTAATTCAGTTCTAGTTCAGTTCTAGTTCAGTTCTAGTTCAGTTCTAGTTCAGTTCTAGTTCAGTTCTAGTTCAGTTCTAGTTCAGTTCTAGTTCAGTTCTAGTTCAGTTCTAGTTCAGTTCTAGTTCAGTTCTAGTTCAGTTCTAGTTCAGTTCTAGTTCAGTTCTAGTTCAGTTCTAGTTCAGTTCTAGTTCAGTTCTAGTTCAGTTCTAGTTCAGTTCTAGTTCAGTTCTAGTTCAGTTCTAGTTCAGTTCTAGTTCAGTTCTAGTTCAGTTCTAGTTCAGTTCTAGTTCAGTTCTAGTTCAGTTCTAGTTCAGTTCTAGTTCAGTTCTAGTTCAGTTCTAGTTCAGTTCTAGTTCAGTTCTAGTTCAGTTCTAGTTCAGTTCTAGTTCAGTTCTAGTTCAGTTCTAGTTCAGTTCTAGTTCAGTTCTAGTTCAGTCTAGTTCAGTTCTAGTTCAGTTCTAGTTCAGTTCTAGTTCAGTTCTAGTTCAGTTCTAGTTCAGTTCTAGTTCAGTTCTAGTTCAGTTCTAGTTCAGTTCAGTTCAGTTCTAGTTCAGTTCTAGTTCAGTTCTAGTTCAGTTCTAGTTCAGTTCTAGTTCAGTTCTAGTTCAGTTCTAGTTCAGTTTTCAGTTCTAGTTCAGTTCTAGTTCAGTTCTAGTTCAGTTCTAGTTCAGTTCTAGTTCAGTTCTAGTTCAGTTCTAGTTCAGTTCTAGTTCCGTTCTAGTTCAGTTCTAGTTCAGTTCTAGTTCAGTCTAGTTTCAGTTCTAGTTCAGTTCTAGTTCAGTTCTAGTTCAGTTCTGTTCAGTTCTAGTTCAGTTTCTAGTTCAGTTCTAGTTCAGTTCTAGTTCAGTTCTAGTTCAGTTCTATTTCAGTTCTAGTTCAGTTCTAGTTCAGTTAGTTCAGTTAGTTCAGTTCTAGTTCAGTTCTAGTTCAGTTTCTAGTTCAGTTTAGTTCAGTTCTAGTTCAGTTCTAGTTCAGTTCTAGTTCAGTTCTAGTTCAGTTCTAGTTCAGTTCTAGTTCAGTTCTAGTTCAGTTCTAGTTCAGTTCTAGTTCAGTTCTAGTTCAGTTCTAGTTCAGTTCTAGTTCAGTTCTAGTTCAGTTCTAGTTCAGTTCTAGTTCAGTTCTAGTTCAGTTCTAGTTCAGTTCTAGTTCAGTTCTAGTTCAGTTCTAGTTCAGTTTCTAGTTCAGTTCTAGTTCAGTTCTAGTTCAGTTCTAGTTCAGTTCTAGTTCAGTTCTAGTTCAGTTCTAGTTCAGTTCTAGTTTCAGTTCTAGTTCAGTTCTAGTTCAGTTCTAGTTCAGTTCTAGTTCAGTTCTAGTTCAGTTCTAGTTCAGTTCTAGTTCAGTTCTAGTTCAGTTCTAGTTCAGTTCTAGTTCAGTTCTAGTTCAGTTCTAGTTCAGTTCTAGTTCAGTTCTAGTTCAGTTCTAGTTCAGTTCTAGTTCAGTTCTAGTTCAGTTCTAGTTCAGTTCTAGTTCAGTTTCTTAGTCAGTTCTAGTTCAGTTCTAGTTCAGTTCTAGTTCAGTTCTTAGTTCAGTTCAGTTCTAGTTCAGTTCTAGTTCAGTTCTAGTTCAGTTCTAGTTCAGTTCTAGTTCAGTTCTAGTTCAGTTCTAGTTCAGTTCTAGTTCAGTTCTAGTTCAGTTCTAGTTCTAGTTCAGTTCTAGTTCAGTTCTAGTTCAGTTCAGTTCTAGTTCAGTTCTAGTTCAGTTCTAGTTCAGTTCTAGTTCAGTTCTAGTTCAGTTCTAGTTCAGTTCTAGTTCAGTTCTAGTTCAGTTCTAGTTCAGTTCTAGTTCAGTCTAGTTCAGTTCTAGTTCAGTTCTAGTTCAGTTCTAGTTCAGTTCTAGTTCAGTTCTAGTTCAGTTCTAGTTCAGTTCTAGTTCAGTTCTAGTTCAGTTCTAGTTCAGTTCTAGTTCAGTTCTAGTTCAGTTCTAGTTCAGTTCTAGTTCAGTTCTAGTTCAGTTCTAGTTCAGTTCTAGTTCAGTTCTAGTTCAGTTCTAGTTCAGTTCTAGTTCAGTTCTAGTTCAGTTCTAGTTCAGTTTAGTTCAGTTCTAGTTCAGTTCTAGTTCAGTTCTAGTTCAGTTCTAGTTCAGTTCTAGTTCAGTTCTAGTTCAGTTCTAGTTCAGTTCTAGTTCAGTTCTAGTTCAGTTCTAGTTCAGTTCTAGTTCAGTTCTAGTTCAGTTCTAGTTCAGTTCTAGTTCAGTTCTAGTTCAGTTCTAGTTCAGTTCTAGTTCAGTTCTAGTTCAGTTCTAGTTCAGTTCTAGTTCAGTTCTAGTTCAGTTCTAGTTCAGTTCTAGTTCAGTTCTAGTTCAGTTCTAGTTCAGTTCTAGTTCAGTTCTAGTTCAGTTCTAGTTCAGTTCTAGTTCAGTTCTAGTTCAGTTCTAGTTCAGTTCTAGTTCAGTTCTAGTTCAGTTCTAGTTCAGTTCTAGTTCAGTTCTAGTTCAGTTCTAGTTCAGTTCTAGTTCAGTTCTAGTTCAGTTCTAGTTCAGTTCTAGTTCAGTTCTAGTTCAGTTCTAGTTCAGTTCTAGTTCAGTTCTAGTTCAATTGTAGTTCTAGTTCAGTTCTAGTTCCGTTCTACTTCAGTTCTAGTTCAGTTCTGAGTTACATATAATATGCTATTTAAGTAATAAGGTCCGTCCGGAAAACTTAGCAGTTCTGTTTGTCTTGGAAACAGTGTTATTTAATACCGATTATATTAAAATATGTAGGAGTAAGTGTGGTGTCCTTAAACTTAATCAGCTTAAAGAAAAACAAAGGAGAACGAAAATAACCAGCAACATCAAGGAGACTTTATTAGATTGATAAAATTCAGTCAAGCCTAAAAAATAAAACAAGTTCTTCTGTACCCAAAAAGTTATAATTCCCAAAATTATAGGCCAACAACCTACAAACATATGTATGTACGTATATTTTTATAAAAAGATATAAATATAAATTTTAACTCAAGTTTTTGGAGTTAAAAATATATATGTATATTGTATATTAAAGCAGCAACTATGACGATGATGAGTTTTTATTATGATGGACGCATGAATTCCCCAAAACAACAGAGGAAAAAAAATGAAACAGGGAAAAAGAAATCATAGCAACTCCTAGTAGTTGATGCTGTTAGTGTTGTACACAAAACAGTTTTAAATGTTGCATAATAATTTTTGCTTTTAATATTATTATTCTCTTGAAATAATTATTCATGCTTGAAAATTTTCATTTCTGTTTTAATATTTGGCTGTTGTTGTTTTAAGTTTTTTAGTATTTAGTTTTAGAGTATTTTAGAGTTGCTGGCTGTGGAATTTTTCAAATCTTGTTTTGATTTGATTTAAATATTTTATTATTGTTGTTATTTTCTTGTTTGAAAAGTATAAACAATAAACTAAAATGTAATCAGACTGTCATTGTTGAAGTCATAAAGAACTTGTAGTTAAATGAGTTAAGAAACATTTTGATTTGAATACACAAATGAATTTGAATGTATTATTTTTTTAAATTTTGTACATATTGAGTTTCACATAGTGTTTAATTTCAAAAATGATTCTTCAGAATATCAGCTATATTATTTTTTGGAGATCACAGCCGGAGTTAGAAACTAATAAAAATAAATTCAATTTTAATATGTTTTTTCTTTTTCTCGAATATTACCAAGGTCTTAATTTGAAATTGAATAAAAAGACACTTTGAATGCTTAACCCAATAATACGGCCTGACAGATGTTAGTATAAAGGATAATGTTTAACAAAATTTAACTAAATGGTTAAACACAACTATATTAAACCTTTGGGTTACAAAGGAATTTATAGTTGGCCAATTTTTCAAACTTAATGAAGTTTTCTATTTTTGCCTTTCTTATATTAAAGACAAGTCATTGAAAAGGCAATATCAATAACATATGATCTTATTTAAATAGATATACACACATATAAACACTTAAAAATATACATATTGCGGAAGTAAATTTATCTACATAATTTAACTGGTAAAATGTTATACGAAAAAGATTCCTTTTCCAACTTCTAACATATTTCTCTTGATGATGCGATGATGCGTAAAAAATGTTAGTTAATTTACCCAAAATATTTTATATTAAATAATTTTAAGCTTCATGCAAAATACTTATTTTTTTAAGCAACTAATGTGGAAAAAAGGGATATGTTTAGAAGCCAGCATCCTAAAAGCGTCACAACATAATAGTGTGTTTTGTTAACAAAATTATCCTTAAGGGTTTTTGATTTTCAGAACAAAAGAAAAGAATTTAAACAATTCAGTTGAGTGAACATCATCAAGTTTTACATCTGTTATTAATTTCACCATTTTTTTTTTTTTTGTCTAAAATTTTTTTGTGTTTTGTTTGTTTCAATGTATCAGTAAAAAATGCCAACAACAATATTGACTAAAAGCCTATAAATATTAAAGGATTTTCTACTTTGTAAGTGTGTTTTACTCTTTCTCTATAGTGTTGGAGAATGTGTATTATAACTGTTGCCTTTGGCAACTTTCGAAGTTCCTGTCTATGTTTTTTTTTTTTTTATTTTGCTCTTCGTTTTAGTGTTTTGCGAATTATTCAAATAGAAAAACTTTTGAAAAACTTAAATATTTACATACAGTTAAAGCATGATGCTTTTTTTTTTTGAGATACAAAAAATAAAAACAGTATCTGTTGTTGATATGTTTGTTTTTCAAAAGTACTTAGTTACTTGTATCAAAACACTTAAAACAAAACAACATAAGGAAGTTGTAGGTGGTCAATTTAATACCCTACTACTATTTATGAAAAGTTATTGGAATGGGGGTTAATATGTAGTATTTTAAAGGGTGTATTTATAGAAAATTTTATACAAAAATAGAATTTACTAAAATTTCTCTAAAAATAACGAAAACATTATTTAAAAGTATTATAATATTTATTGTGATAAAAATTCTGTGAAATTTTGACTTAATACCAATATTTGTTAAAGATTTATGCTATTCTGTTTAAATTGGATTTTCCTAAATGTATACAATATTATTCGTCTATATTTGTTTATATGTTTTAAGGACATTTTTGTCATAATCTGTTTATATTTGTTTTCCAGGAATAAATAAAATATAATAAGCAATTGCTAAAAAGTCTTTAAATTAAATTATATGTGTTTTAGTTAATACTAACATACCCTGGTTGCTTCGCTACCCTAACCAAAATAAAATACATATAAAATTTTGTTTACTTTTATAGTAAATTAAAATTGATTAAACATTTTCATCACGTGAATAAATTCGCATTCAGTAAGAAGCTTGAATATTTAGTTTCATTCGTTTAGCTTCCACATTATAGAAAATTTCGAAAATACTATTTGAAAAATGTACCATAAAACACCTCTTATAGATTTTCATTTAATCAAAAATTTTATGTTTCTGTGTTCAATATTATAAACAATTAAAAAAATATAATTTGATCAATGAAAAAGTACCAAAAGTCCCTTTCACTAGATTCTCACTAAGGTCCCAACATATTAAATTGTATGTTTCTATGTTCAATATCGTAAAAATATCAAAAAGGACCATCGGAAAAACGAAAAAGTACAAAAATCTCTCACAATAAATTCTTATTTAATAAGTACCGTGTGTCATGTATCCAAAGAATCCAAAAGGTACCATTTGAAGAATGGAAAAGTACCAAAGAGTTCCGACTTACAGAATATTACTCAGTCTAGACCAGGTAGGTAGGTAGGTTGATAGGAGGATGTATACTACATCAAATCCGAAAACACCTAGGCCACTATCGGGCCTGTTGTGCGCTCCAATCAAGACCATGTATGTTAAAATTTATGTTCCTAGGTTGAATAGTTTAGAAATTCAAAAAGTACCATTTATGAGATAAAAAGTACTAAAAGGTTCTCTCTTAAAGAATCTTATTCAATGAGGACCGTGTATGTTTAAAAATCATGTGCTTTGAATTCATATTATAGAACATACAAAGAGTGTCTTTTGAAGAAAAAAAAAAGTACCAAAAGTGGAATAAATTCTACCTTAGTGGAAAGCACTAATAAAAATAGTACAATTTTTCCCATTTTCGCTTAGAAATATACTTTTTTGAGAATTAAGTTTACAAAATGTTCCGTATTTAAATCTCCATATTACAGAAAAAACTCAAACGATTCAAATCTGCATTAATTTGTTCCAGAAAAATTGTGCTTTCAAAAAGGTACCAAACAATATACTCGAATTTTTTTAAATTTTTAAAAATTGGCTCAGTGAGTTTGAATAAAACCAAATTTCCCATTTTCCCCTTTTGGTACTTTTTTTCCTCAATGAAATAGCAAAAATTTTGTTTCAATATATATTACAGAATTAGTCCGTAATTTAATAGGAATACTTCAATAAATCGAAAACGTTTTCTTAATGTGCTAAAAAAAAGTACCAAAAATTCAGAGATACAGAAATACAAAAAGAGAGAAATTTTACAACCAAAAAGGACTGAATATTAAAAAAGTACGAAACAGGTGTCTCCTTATTTTGGGAGATATATTCAAAATATTTTGAAAAATGTTATATGGTTTTTTAGTTAAAAAGTTATAAAGGGCCAAAAAAGGTACCAAAATCACCTTTGTTACACATTTTCACCCCTTAAAAGTACGAATTTGAAAAAAATACCAGACACCCCTCTGCTTATTTTAAGAGTTGATATAGGTGCATTCAAAATGTTCTTGTATCAATAATACTAGGTAATATAATTAAAAAAACCCGTTTTCCCCCTTTTTACCCCTAAATCTACAAATTTCCAAAAAAAAACCATCCTTAGTGGATCTACATAACCAAAAACACATCTACTATCAAAATTTTATGATTCTAGGTTCAGCCGTTTGGGCTGAAATTGGAAAATGCAAAATTAACCTAAGTTTAATATAAAACAGTTTCAAATATATTCATTAAATGTTTAAATTATTCTTACCTGATCATTCATTGTTGAAATTTCATTATCACCTATACTGGCATCACTAAAAGTTCTTGTCGAATCACTAGAATATAAGGGATCTCCACCCACAACTTCCAAAATAAAGTACTGAGACAGACCACCATCATTACCCGCAACACATACCACTTCTAAAACAGTATCGTTGCGTATTTCACAAGACCTGGGAGCCTCTGGAGGATCTGAAAAACAAAAAACAATAATTAAAACTCTTTAAAATGTATTCCAACTATATTTACAACTACACTTACTTGCTGGCAGGATATGCACTAAACAGGGTGTAGTTTGACGACCCACTGCATTGCTGGCCCAACAGGCCAATGTTATTAATTCCGAATCAGTTTGAGGCAGGTAGGTGACAGTACTAGTTAAACCATTCGATTGTATTCTCGAATTGAGTACCTTTAAAACACAAAAATAAGAAAACAATTTAAATTGCAAATTAAAACAATTACTTCCTGCAGTTATTTTCAAAGGTTGAAGGAAAAACATTTTGGTGTTGGTAAAAGTTTAACTTTAACACAGACAGTTTTTCCCCCTAAACTACCACATTTTATAGAATGCATTTAGGCTATATTAACTATTGAAGTGTTTTATAAGTTCTTGTTTATGTAACAGTTTAATAGTGACTAGACTTTTTCTGAGTATATAACTTCTACTACTTGTTTAACTTCAAGGAAAGACATTTACAAAGACTTTTAAAAGGATATATGAGCAGGATTTAGGAAAGACATTAGCAATAAATTAGAAATTCTTTTACAAGAACAAAATGAAATTTTAGGCCTATTAACCCTTAGAGGGAACAAAAGTTATTACATTCAAAAATATCCTATGCTTTATAAATAATGTTTTTAAACTTAAAATTTTTGAATTTAACTTAATCAAAAATTAAAGAGCTTTTGCTATTTAACCAATAAAAACCCTTTTCATTCTACATTCACTTTATTCTCTTTAATACTATTACATAATTTCACAAAAGACTAATGCTGTCATTTTATGTGTCTCCTGGCCGGAATTTATGTACTTACTCTAATACTCCTCTTGTACTGCCATCACATATTTATTGAAAACTATCATTAAATGCAATTTATCCATATCCATGGGCAAATGCTTAAAACTATCTAGTATTTATCTAAACTACGAAAATATAAATGAAAACTATACACCATTGCACATGTCGCTATAGTATGAAAAGTACCTTAAAGTTAGCTCACATTAAACAAATATTTGAGAGAAAACATAAAAACCAATATAGTCATAACATGACTTTGCTCAAAGTAAATAATGTTAAAACAAACTATTTGAAATTTTACTTTAATAAACTAAAATGTATTTAGTCAAATATTTCAATAGTGTAAACATAGATATTAGTATGTGAACAGTGTGACACTCCTTCAGAAGGATTCATGTAAAAGTCATTATATGTATATGTACGCATTGGCAAATAAACGTTAAAACGAAACACAATACAACTTGATCATCTTGGAAAGATGACGACCATTTTCGATACATTATAAATAATTTATAAAATTCGATTAGATTTTGTAAGCCAAGTCACGTATAAGAAATTTTTGTCTCTGGTGGCTAAATTTCTATACAAAGCAAATATTTGTACTTTTCATATTTACCAGCTGGGCTGACTAAAATATCAGCCAGCTCCCTTTTTGGGTGTTTTATATAAGTACATAAAATATTCATATAAATGTTTCTGTTGTAAAGATATTTTTTTCTTCTTAAAGCCTAAAAACTAGTACAATAGTTAGAGAAACACTTGTTTTTCAGACTATATCGTTTTACATGTTTTGTACCTTGTACATTTGCGAGACAAATGCTAACCAACATTTCATGCGGTTGAAATACACACACATATGCAAGTGTATACGATTGTTTGTATGTGCGGTTAAAAGTTGGCATGTGTTTGAATGTCTTAGAGAAATCATATCTTTTACATTCTCTCTTTTACTTTTGTGTCTGTAGCTAACCTTGAGTTAGTTGTGGTAATCCTGAGGGGAATAACAAATACTACAAACGTTTTAGTGAAAAAGTGTATGAGTAAAAGTTCTTAGACAGACAAACAAATACAAATGACAGTTAGACAAATATAAAGTCGTCTAATAGACAGCATCATAGAAACTTGCAACGCCTCCCAGTCTCTACAACGAAAAGTTAAAATTATTTTATATACAAAATATAATTTATAGAATTTTTAATACAAGCCTATGTAGATTGTTAAATACACGAAAACATCAGTCACTTATTTTGAAAACAGACTTCGTTCTCGTGTGGTAAATTGGGAGGACAAAGAGATTTGTAAACCCAAATAAAAAATCAAAGAAATGAAGTAGTTTGTGAACTTGTTAATAGATTTATGGAAAGTGTATTCTTATTCAGGTTCACATCAAAGAACGTAATGCAATTTCCACGATGAATTAGAACTAAACTAGAACTGAACTAGAACAGAACTAGAACTGAACTAGAACTAAACTAGAACTGAACTAGAACTGAACTAGAACTGAACTAGAACTGAACTAGAACTGAACTAGAACTGAACTAGAACTGAACTAGAACTGAACTAGAACTGAACTAGAACTGAACTAGAACTGAACTAGAACTGAAAAGTAAATCTCCCGTTTTGTATTCTATACTTCCGCTGAATTTATTTTACCTTATTACTGTCCATTATTAATATTTGAGTTAGTTATAAAACAAAAATCTCTTTATTATTTTATTTTTCTACAACAACACAGAATTGTCTACAATTTCCATAGAAAGTTTCTACAAAAAGCTAAAGACAACATTTCACTTGGGACATATGTATAAAGTTCATTTTATATTAGTTAAATAATTTAACAAAAAAAGTTAAAAATTTCCTAGAAACTCAAGTAACACAAATATACGAGACAAAATGCTAAGCACAGCTTTTTTTATATTATTAACATTTTGCCATTTTGTGGCTTTTCTGACATTTCCTCTAGAGGCTCTGATAACTTTTTAAAAACGATGTACTTGATTTGGTTCTTATTGATTTTCAATTGTGCTTAGTTTCAACAACTTCAAGACAACAAAAAGCAAATGTTAGGAAGGGCCAAAAAGTCAATACTAGGGATTTTAATTTATATAAAAATTGTATATGAATTTAAAATTTAAACAACTTTAAACAGGCTAACATTAGAAAATGTTGATATGTGTAGTTTAGTCCTGCGGCAGAGGAAACTTTCATATTTAATGTCCATATTATGTCAAGGGTCATACACAGTTTGCTTTTTAAAGCAAAGTAAAAAAAAATATCTCTAAGATGGTTTTGTAATAAGTATAGTAAAGAGCATGAATTGAATTGAAGAGGTCAATTATAAAAATTTTATATCAGTTTTCTTTCATTTTTCTCTGCAAAGAAAGGAAGAAAGGACTTTAGCAGATGAAGTACAGCATGTGAGTTTTTCTTTGTTATTATATAATTTCTTTTCATAAAAATATACAAGTGCCTTTACACACAATACTATTTATATGTGTCTTTTCATAGTTTCCCTCCCTCATTATTATATTTTATTTATGCCAAAATAAAATAAGAAATTTATATTTAAAAGAAAATCATAATTGTTGTCTATGGACAGATAGTTCATTTGAGTGTAGCTTGTACTTACTGGTGACACATTTCTTGTATTATTGTATGTCCAACTAAATTTTACAGAATCCGGTGGATCGGCATCAACTTCACATTTAACCGGTATTGAGTGCATATTTATAGCGCCAATAGATGTTTGTTCAGTGCCCGGTTTGCAACGTGGTGAATCTGCAAATGAATCAAAAAGATTTTATATGTATTTATGTTAACACAAGAGAAGAAAAAAGGGAGTGCATTAAATATTATCAGGATTCAGGTTCTTTTATAAAACATTAAAGCAAAAATTTCTTTATTTATGTGTTTTTTTTCTCTTTATGTTGCATGTTTTAGTTTTTGTGGCATTTTAGTAGTTTTTTTTTTCTAATTTTTTATATTTCATGTTTTTTTTCTTGATTCTACACGTTATTTCAATTTTGTTTTCTTAGTTGTTCTTGTTAAGAGTGAAGAGAGAAAACAATTGGTATAGCCTTGAGCGTAGCAATTAACTTGGTCTACTTGAAGAGTGTAAAGAGAATATGTATATCAATGTTTGTTCTTTATATACCCAGTCATTTTATATAAAATTCTATATGTGTATAGGTATATAAATACATATACAATGTCTATATTCTTAAATACTTTTTTATATGTTGTAGTATCTAAAAACACATACATATGTACTGCTTTATTTAATTACATTTTATACTTTAATAACGGCGACTTTTTTTGAGAAAAATTAATTTAAATTATTTTTATGAAATTGGTTCATAGTTGGAATTTAATGGTTAAAGTTAAGTTCACTAATAACAGGGATATTCAGCTTTAAATAGTAGAGTCTTGTTGCCTAGTGAAGTTTAATATAAAGCATGTGAAAAAAGTTTTGTTCGGAAATAGTTTTATAGAAGGTTTTCCATAAAAAGGATATTTTTTACAAAATTTTCAGGAAATTTTCCAATATTTTAAAGAAACATTTTTTTTTAAATTCTATATATCGAGTTTGTGTTCGTATAACCTTCGGAAGTCACATGTGGTCTCAGACAGATAAAGTATATTGTTGAATGAATGTTTAGATACCAATTTTGACTGTATAGATCCAGCGGTTAGGAGGATTGAAATACGCGCGTTTTAGTGATATTCGGAAGTGGACCTTATATAAGAGTTATGACCAATTATGGACCGATTCGGAAAAAGATTCGAAGATTGATTTATATATACACAAAACATATTCATGTTGAATTTTACCCCGATAGCTTCATAAGGTAATGAAATATGAGCGTTTAAGTGATTTTCGGAAGTGGACCTTATATGGGAGCTATGAGGAATTATGGACCAATTCGGAAAAAATTTCGTAGAATGATTTATATATGTACAGAAAACATATTCATGTCGAATTTTATCTCGATAGCTTTATTTATCAGTGAAAAAGAGCGTTTGAGTGATTTTCGGAAGTGGGCCTTATATTAAAGCTATGACCAATTGTGGATCAATACAAATTTACGTTGGTAGTATGAATTAACATTATATTTATATGTATGTATGTGCAAGATTTTGAGTTGATACCGATATTTTTGATTAAGTTATTAACTATAAAGTCATTTCCGGATATATGTACCTTAGTTTGTATAGGGGCTATGGGAAATTTTGGATAGATTGTTTTGATTTTCAACATAATTGATCCCCGAGTAAAAAAAATAACGTTTGATAAAATTCATCGAATTCAGAATTACGAAAAAAACTTAATTTTTTTCGAGGTTGTCTGAAATTTTTACTCATAACTTTTAACATTGTGAACCGATTTTGCTGATATTCAACAATAAACTGCTTAGGACAATGAATATTTTTGGTGAATTTGGTTTATTTCTTTTGCTTAGTTTTAACGTGAGCGTTTTAGGCAGACAGACGGACGGACATAGTTAAATCGACGCATAATTTGATAAGGACCCGGAATATTTATGCTTTGTTGGGTCACAGATGAATATTTCTTGGTGTTACACACGGAATGGCAAACTTATATATACCCTCTATCACCACTGATGGTGGTGGTGGGTATAAAATTAAGGTTTCTTCATGGATCTTGGACTTGTTAACATTGATTACAGAACATAAAATGGGTTTATATAGCAGTTAATGCTCCTTAATTCAATCGGATTTAAAAGATTATTTTAGAACTATTTTCTTCATATAACTAAATATATAAAATATTGCTGCCGATAACCGTTTTGTGAATGGAAGTTATCTGTTAAAAGAGTTTTAAATGTAAACTGGGTATTTGCAATCATACACCAGAAACTCCTGCATAATAAAACCACACATAGTTGAAAAAACTGTATAATTTTCTTAACTAAAACCAAATAGAAAAGTCATTAGGTTGACTCTATTAAAAACCAAGAAAAAAGTTCTTTATGTTCAATTTGATTACAGAACTGATTAATTACTTAACTTAATATATTTTTTCCGTAATTAATTCAGAAAAAAAAACATTTGAGAGATTTTTGAATAACTCTTCTGAAAGCCCCAACCTATGAAACTAGTGCTGAATCATGTTAAAAATCATATTGTTTTCTTCAATTCTAAAAATAATTTCGTTTTTACTATTGAATTTTATATTAATGTGAAAATAATGTTTTCCATGTATGCAAAAAATACGGAAGTTTTTCATTTTAGCAGCCTTAAGCAGCAAACAAATGAGAAAAAAACAGTACAGATACAACTTAGTTTATTTCTTAAAATAAGAAAATATTTACTAGAAATATTGAGAATGAAAAACTAACAAATACTAGATAAATGTTTTAAAAATTCCGAAAAATATATTAAATATAAAAAAAACAAAGTTTTCTTAAAACATCAAATCTTTTGCTACATTTTAACAATTGAATTCCATAAACAATATATTTTTATAAAAAAATTGTGTTTTTATTTTCCCATAAAATTATTCAGGTGTATTATTTATGATTTGTTTCAATAACATGAAAATACACTTTGCTAGGTAAAATCATTAAAAAGAAATAAAATCTGTTTTTATTACATGAAAAACTAATTTTACTTTATTATTCCAAAATCGATATGTGTTGCTTCTTCTACTGAAATAAAACTTAAGTAAGAAATTTATATAGTTTTCCAATAAATATACTACTTGTTGCCCTGAAAATTTTTCTCAAAATATTCCAAGTTATTTAAAATACTTTGTTGCTAAGGTGATTGCCAAAAAAAATATAAACTTTTAAAAAAAATTTTATAAAAAATTTAGTTTTTTATTAGTTGTTGTTAAAAGAAAATATATTAAAGTGCCGTTATATTTTCTTTTTTGTTGTTAAGGGAAAAGAATTTTCAAAACAAAAGTGTTAAAAAGTATAAAACTGCCATAAAAAAATGCTGGCAAATATTTTGACAACATCTGCAAAATATTGGAAATATTTATAGAAATAATAAATTGAGTTGTTGCAAAGAAATATACGAAAACAATAAGACTAAAATTTTAAAAAGAAAAACTTTTATGATTTTTTATTAAGGTAGGTTATATTAAATGTTTTATAAGAATTTTATTTCGAGAAGAATTTAAATATAACTTATAAATATGTCTTTAAGGTACAAAACCACAAGATTTATGAATTTTGTGTTTTACTTTTTCTTAGGAAATTGGTGGCGTATGAGTTATAGAAATTTATTTTAATATAAATAAATATTAATCATACGCCTTGCTATTCACAGACATTTATGATTTTGCTATTTTTTAACTTAAACATCAAACATTTTAAAAACCAGGAGCGTTATATGAAAGCCAAACTAAATATTACAAAAAGCAATTCAAGTCCAGCTTAAAAAAATTCTTCCACTACCAATTTTATTAAATTAATCAAGGACAATAAATAGAAAAATTTTGTCATACTCAAGCAAGACAATTTAACAAATATTTGACTTTATTTTACATAGCCAAAAACATATCAACATACAAATAAGAAATAAAATGAAAAATAAATAAAAAGCAACATACACACACACACATAGTCGAAAACAATTGAAGCAATTTAATTTCATGACAATTTCGTTCATATAAAATGTTATAACAATAGATGGCGTCAATATTCACACAAAATACCGAAACAAAACAAAAAAATAAAGAAAAAAGTAAAACAAACAAATAAATGAATCAATAAATGAATCAAGTGAGTGTACAATTGGAATCCTTATAAAAACGACAGCAGGCTAAGCCATTCATATACTAACATCCTCTCGCTCATACACTTAACAACGAAACAACACAAACTAGGGACTCTTCTGACAAATAATCATAAAAAAATAAAATACCAAATAAATTGCAAAAAGAGAAGAACAAAAAAAAAAAAAAAAAAAAAAACAATCAATGAATTCAAATTTGTATTATTTTATGACTTCTTTTTGTCATAATAAACCAATACACAGCAATATACTAACACAAACACTCACGCTTATTTCCTTTGCTGGAACATAAAGTAAAGAATTAAAGTGTCTACAGAACAGTGGAAAAAAATTTTAAATTTACTCATAAAAGCAAAGCATTTGTTTGTCTTTAGTATATTTTTTTTGTTATTGTTCATATCGCACCCATTTCCGATTTCCTGGTATATTTTTGCTTTGTTTTTTATTCTTCTTTATTTTTCTGTTATACCGTGGCAGTGAGAAAAAAAAAAGAAGAACTTTTGAGAGTCTTCTTTAGTTGCTTGTTATTAATATGTATGAATGAATTTTGTAGTTGTTATTTGTTATAAGAGAAAAATATAAATAAAGACTACTTTTGATTTTTTTACTTTTTAAAGGAAAAACAGCAGCAGTATATGGGAGATTTTATATGCTGGAGTATAAAAACTTTAAATTCAATTATACAAGAGAGTACAAACAGATCTGCATACTTTGAATCCTTTACAAGTGTAAAGGCAAGTTTACACTTTACACTATAATACTTCGTTTAGCAAAATAATACCATGCCATTATCTAGTTAAGAGATCAGTCTATAGAAAAATTCTCAGACATGTGCCAGTCCACAGACAAGTCAATAGACTTGTCTATATATTTGTTAATAGACCCGTCTAGTGCGAGTTAATTAACTAGAGTATTGACGAGATTATCGACTATGCTATAAAGGATTTTAGTGACCAGTAAGTTCATCTATAGCCTAGTAGATAGTCTCGGCCATATTTTACTTAACTCGCTCA